GGGGAGTGGCGAGGGGGTGGGGTCGAAGGGGGAGGGACAGACGTTCTACCGTTGCTCGAGCAAGCTTGGGAGTGGGGGGAGAGTGGGTGGTAGCGAAGCGCGGAGCGATAGGGGAAATCAGTCGCGGTTCGAGTACCGCCACGCACGCACGTGAGCGGGTCTCCGATCGTTCCACGGAGCTGAAACGACGAATACGTCGAACCACGCGTTCTTGGAATTAATCGAATCCCGGTGTTCGTACGCGTTCGTGCCGCTCCGTGGCGACGGACGTCGCGACGCCGGTGCAGCGTCAACCGGACCAATCAGGGATTACCGATGTAAACACGGAGAGTCGAGTTTGAAACGGAAAAGAGTTCGACACGCTCGCGATCAAGAAACTCTGCCCCGTTCCTCCTCTCTCGCTCTTTTATTCCCTCTCTCTACATCCCCACTCTCCCGCCTTTTCGTCGCGCTCGCTACTCTCGCGACGAAAGGACGTTCGAGATAATCCTCGAGCGAGCGTTCGTTCGAGGGGAAAGTCAGTTTTCAATCGTCGGCCGAGATTTTCGAGTCGTTTCGCGGGCAATTTCGCGAGGTGAAGTGACCAGATATTTGAACGTGCAAACAATCTGGGAACGAGGACGGACAAGCTGGAGCAGAGGTCCAAGATGCTCGACTTCGAACAACAGGCGAATCAGGCACAAGCCCTGGCCTCGCTGGACGAGGACTGGCACCTGCTCGAGGGTGAGCGCACGACCTTCATTTTTTCTCTCTCTCGTTTTCGACGTTCAGTGGCGTCGACGTTATCTACGCACCTGCCGAATAGCTTCGCGTATTAATTACGATACAAAGGACGTTCGTTTCGATCCAACGCGTAAATCGCTGAGACCGGACGTGTTTACGTCGATAGCCGATTTCGCTCGCAAAGAAAATAACCTCCAGACGAAGATAACGAGAAAGTAAACGTATTTTATTTTTCCGAGGTATCTTATCGAATCGTAACGAAACGGAGTAATACAGTTGTAACCTATAAACCATAAACGTCAGCGTCGCTTGCCTTCCACGCTAGCTTTAACGCGTTTTTACGATTATGCGTGTGAAACGCGTCCCGTTTACCGCCCGAGTGGACTCTGTTAAAGGGACGTTCGGAGCCGATAACCTTTATTCGCGGTCCGTACACTCGGAACAAAGATTTCACTCGATTATGAGCCTACCTCTACGCATATTAATTTAAAAAAATTTTTTTTGTATTTTATAATGTATTAAAAATTATTTAAATTTTTTAAATTGATAATTTAACTAATAAGATAATTTTAGATTACTGCATTTTTTTATATCAATAAGAGCAGTTATGTTTAGGTGGTTTTAAGTGCCTTGCCTTGTATATTTTATATAATATGTATTTTAGACTGCAAGAGGCCATTTGGTCGATCTAACGTCCTTTTTTATCGAACAGCTGCTTCGCGTACCAGTCTTACACTTTCTCGCTGTCTTCCGAGCGCAACGATTTCTTAATATCGAACGAGAATTATCGAAACCTCGACGCCACTGATTATAACTGCTGCGTGTCAAGATACCGTTTCATTGTTGCGATATATTCTGCTTAACAATTGCCTGCTAGTTTAATACCCGTTTACGTTATTTCTTATTTTAAGTCACAATTAAAATGAAAATCAAATTTTTTAAATATAATCAAGTTTATTGTTAACGTTGAGTACCGCGTCACTCATCGGTGATTGACAGTGAACTTTCAGGCCGCGTCAGTCACCGCTGAGTGACAGTGTAAAATTTACATTTATCACATAAATATTCTTTTGTAAAAAATTGTAAAGCAAATTTCAAAATTTTAACGCGATTTTAAAAAGTATTAAAGCAACGATTTTCCCAAAGATGCTGTTTGTTAATTTTATTGGAGACAATCACGTAAATAATGTTGCGTTATTACTTTGACAAAAAGGTGCTCGTAAACGTTGTCGCGAATCGAGGAAAGGAGTAATTTGACCGAAATTGTTTCGAATATGTAACTGAATATTTTGAAAGCAGACGGGGCGGTGTGACGCGGCGTGCCACGGAAAACGTACAACTCGCACCTGTTTCGTTCACGGCACATAAAATGTTTGCGGGAGCAATATCGTGTTCGGCGATGCCAACTTCACCTGGCCGTGGTCCGGAATGCGTACGGTATATTTTTCTGGAGGTTTCCGTAAATCGTTCCGCGAAATGGTCCGCGTTGATCTGTTACTCTATGAATTTCACTTTCTGTTATAGTATTATACTTTCTATTACTATAATTTTTAATTATAATTCTAGTGTTATTCTAGGGAATTCTGGTGGTAGTCTAGGAACTTCTAGTGTTATTCTAAGGAATTGTAGCGTTACTCTAGGGAATTATAGTGGTAGTCTAGTGAATTCTAGGGTTAGTCTAGGGAATCTTAGTGGTAGTCTAGGAAATTCTAGTGTTAGTCTAGGGAATTCTAGTATTATTCTAGGGCATTCTAGTATTAATTCTAGTATTGGGATATCTTAGTACCAATTCTGGTAT